ACTCTCCAAGGTATCGAGCCTGACGGTCATGCCGATGTGCGACAGGGCCAGCGCCAACGTGAGTATCCTCAAGCAGTTGGGCAGCACCGTCGAGAAGCTGAGCACTGAGCTCGGGGAGACTGGCCACAAGCTACTTTTCTGGGCAGACACGTGTGGCATCCATGCCCACCATCGCGGCAAGTTGAAGTTACGGGGCTTACGTGGGCACACAATGCGGCATTATTCAATTGCCTCGATGTCCAGATACCGAGGGAACCTGTCCCGCTCTATCAGGGGCATCGAGAAGATCGTCGAAGCTAAGCTTCATCGCGATGTTGGCCAGGCGCCTCCCTGCCCTTACACGCTGGAACAGGTTGCGGACATCTTCTACGATTTAGGTGCTGAACGTCATCAGCGACCACGCAAGGATGGCAGTCAGGGTGGCGAGTCGCAGCTCATCACAGACCTGAAGGAGTTGATGGCCATGGCCAACGGGGACCTTACCGCTGATAGGTGGGTCCACCACTGCTGGGACGGCGAGCGCAACCGCCCGTGCTGCAAGACGAGGGCCGAGGCAGTGGAGAAGATGACGGTTGCAGCAGTACACGCTTTATATGGCAGCTCGGACCCTCGTCCAGCAGAGTCCCGATGGACGCATTTACTACCCAGCTTCAAGCGCACGCTGGTGCGCAGACTTCTCCATAGAGTAGGGCTCGATTGCTTCGTGGACACAATACCTGAGGGCGAACTTGACGGCTTGGACGGGCAGCAGATCGGCGTCGAACAGGAGGGCACGGACGCGTTCTTCAAGCACATCATCCGCGTGCGCACCAAAAAGGTGAGGGATTATTACGCAGACGACCTGAACATGCAGCAGCTGATCGTATTTACTGCCATCCTCGAAGCCGCGGATGGCAACTTGCTGTACCCTCTCCTCGGCGACGCGATTGAGGACAAGGCCGAAGATATGAGCAAATTGGATAAGCTCTTGGACGAGGACTCTGTCATCGCCAAGTTCAGCCAAGACATGGTAAACCTCATAGACACCTGGAACAATGGAGATTCATCGAGGCGGCCTCTCATGCTGCTGGATATAATCAACGCGCCATTGACCGACCAAGGCTTCTCCAGATGGGCCAGGGGACAGATGCTCAAGATCAACTCGGTCATGGCGCGCAGATACGAGAGTCGATTCAGCGCGTGGCCCTATAGGCTCTACCCTCTGTCGCACGGCCGCTCCACGGACGCCGACAGGCAAAGGGTCGCGCGCGAAACGTTGGGTGCTCCGGACCACATGATCGACACCTACACCAGAGGGATCCGCAAACTCTTTAGCACCGACGCCGCCTTGACATCGCTAGAGTGCCAGATGGTTTTGGCAGCCGATTTTAGAGCGCACTGCTACGGGACGGACATGATAGAGAGGCTGAACTCCTTGTACACAGCTCGCCATCCAGTGCGAGCTCCAGGCAGGAACTCCATCAACGCTGAGCGGGAGCACTTCCTCGACCAGCTCAAAGCGGTTCACGTGAGCAGCGGTGGCGACGACCCTCTTACCCCTTCTCGTCTGGACAGTGTGTCGGCGGACGAGACCGTGTCGTGCTTGCCTCTCTTGGAGGGCGCTTCTTTCGGATCGGTGCCAGCGGTGCCAGTTCTCCCAGCGATTGAAGGCCCCCCTGGGCCCATGGCGATCGAGGACGCACCAGCGCTGGCGGACGAACGTGCCATCGTCGTGGCAGCACCTGCAGCAGAACAACATCAGTTCGAGGATGCCATCGTCACTCGCATCCCGAACCCGAACCAGCTGCCAGGCGCCGCCGAGGCCAGTCGGCAGGACGATCGCCATGGCATCAAACGGGGGCTTAGCGTTTACATGCTGGGGCAAAACAAATACCTCGAGGATGCGAAGAAGGCGAAAGGGCGCAACCTGACACCTGACGAGGTCACGCAGCACAGAAAACAGTTTCAGGAGATGTTCGCAGAGGGCGACCAGGATGTCTACCAGGAAGCTTACCAGGAGTGGCAGCACAGCAGCGCGGCAGCACAGCCAGACGTACGAGAACAGCCGTATGCACAATGGTGGGGCGGGGGGAGCCGTGCGAGCCCTTTTACGCCTGCTGAGCTCTGTCAGTACATCGACCAGCACGGGTGGCCGAAAGACCGAGAGGTGTACGACGCGGACCTTACTGCAAAGAAGGTCGACTCGGACCGCAAGACCAACTTCGAGGATACCGACGGGTTCGACCCTTGGGGGATTTCGCGTTCGGCGAGAAACGCCGACAAACGTGCGTCAAGGGTGCCAGCCGCCTTTGACGTCGTGGAGAAGGGGATCTTCAATTTCCTTGTCTCTATCAATGCTGGTAAGGGCGACGACGACGCCTCGGACGTGCTGCTCGTCATTGCAGGGCGAGCTGCGCACGGAGGAGGCCACAAGCGCGTGGCGAGCCTGGTCACCGACATCACCTTTAGCCCGCAGGTGTTCGACGTGACGTTGAACGAGTTCGAGCGGGCTGCCGACGCGGTGTCTGAGGAGACGATTCGGGCTCGGAACGGCCACCGCCCAAGACCAAATCACTCCGGGACGATTTTAAATTTTTTTCGAAACAACGCGATTTCGGAGTTGGTTTTTTTGACGTTCAGGGCTGTGTTTCGAGCTACTGGGCTTTCGGGTTTCTGGCCTTTTCTGGGTAATGAGCTTCGTTGTCGTGGGTAGGTTTTGGTCGGGGCGGTGATCGTTCTGGGCACGAGGAGCTGGAGCTGCCTTCCTACGTGAACATTTCGATTCGGCAGAGCAGGTTGAGCCATAGATACAGCGCTATCAATACCAACACATCTGACGAGTGGATCTTCGACTTAATCCAGCAGTTCGATGACATGGACCTCTACTCAGCCGAATACGAGATATGCCACGACACTGGGACTCTGAGGAGATCAAAGATTGTGGGGCTGCAGCTCATTGGACGCATATGGGAACCAAACCAACGTAAGCCATTAACGTTCAGACGTGGAGGCAGGCGGCTACGGATGCAAGAAGAGGACCCCTTCAGCGAGGCAGCCCAAGCAGATGCAGATCGACTCTTAGGCCGAGGTCGTCGTGGAGGGGCTGGCCGTGGCCGAGGGAGATGCGCAGGGGGGCGCGGCCGCGGCGGCGGTGCTCGAGGGGGGCGTGGCCGCGGGCGTGCAGGAGCAGCCGAGGGACCTGAAGGACACCAGCCACCTGGAGTTCCAGAGGGCCCTTTGCCCATTGCCGACGCTGGCTCACCAGAGCATGAAGATCAACCTGCACCCGATGGCGAGTTCGACCTCGCGGACGTGGAGTGCCAGTCAGAGGTCACGGAGGTGGAGGAGCTCGAGGCAGTGCACTTGGAGGCGGGACTACCTGCCGAACTGGGTGAACCTCATGTTCCAGCTGTTGCGCCAGATGATCGCGAAGGGGATCCTCACTGCGGCGGCGGGGACTTCCTGGATGAGGAAGCGGCCGCCGCCATGGCTGAGGCTGCTTTGGGTTTCATGGAGGAGGAGGAGGAGGAAGGGGGTGACACAGGCGCAGGGTCATCCACGGATCCGCCGCTGCCCCCTCCCCCTGCCCCTCCAGGGCCTCCGCCGCCCCACGAACCTTGGGGGAACCTCGATGGGCCCACGCCCCAAGGGTACTTTTTTCAAGACGGTAGGCAGGTTCTTCGAATTCAACGGGGGCGCCCAGCGAACTCGGTGACCATTACATGCTTCAGACACCGCTCCTGTGCGGTTTGCGTTCCCATGGCCTTATGCGGCTCAGATGCTGCAATTTTCAAGTGGCTCTTTGAAGTCGACCCGACGCCCCCTGGCGCAGCCCAGGATATTAACAAGCCGCTGGCCGAACAGCACAAGGCCTCAGCCAGGGCGATGTGGAGCGCCAAGGCGCACAAGGCTAAGGCCAAGGCCGCAGCAGCTGAGGCCAAAGCCAAAGCCAAAGCAAAACCGAAGTGACGCAAGCTAGCCGCAGAGCCCAGCCCAGCTACACCGCCCCCCCCCCCGCCTTTAGGCCAAAAACAAAACCAACTAAAAATCCAACAACGATGCGCATAGCTTGCATCTCCTCGGCAACTGTGGTTTTCCCAGGGCAGGGTCCCTGGCCGTTCTCTGGCTGACGGGAGGGCGACGGGGAGGAGGAGGGGGAGGAGGAGGGCGAGAAGGAGGAGGAGGGGAGACAGAGGAGGTGGGCGAGGAGGAGGAGGAGGAGGGGAAGGGGGTGGATGATGGGTGCGGAAATACACGATGCGAGCGGGTAGGAGGAGGAGGAGGAGGAGGCAGGGGGGGGGAGGGGGAGACGGACGAGGGGGGGGGGGAGGAGCAACCAAGGCGAAATGGGCGCGGAGGGGAGGAGGACAGGCAGGAACACAAGAAACACTAAGGATTGGCGTGGAGAGGAGAACGGGGGGCAGGAGGAACGGATGAGTGCAAGATGAGGGACTGGAGAAACAAGAAGCTGCCCGTGCACGCCACGGGGCACCAAAAGGACTGACGAGAGAGCGAGACGTTTGGCCGCCCTCCAGGAAAAAAAGAGCTTGCCACGACAGCGAGGCTCGACACCCGTATCTCGTAAAATAGACACACCGACGCAACGAACGCGCGCGCGCGGACGCACGGGCGCGCGCACACAGACACGCACGCGCACGCACGCGGGCACACAACGCACACATATACACGCACGCGCACACGCATCACGCACCGACAACCACAAAACTGCAACGCCCACTCGGGCCACACCGACAAAAACAACTACCGCAATAATAACAGCAGCAATAACACAAACAACGCCCATAACCTATATATATATATATATATATACACACATAGGTAGACGGGGCCCCGCTCACTTGCGCCCCCCCTCCCCCCTCCCTCCCCAAGAAGCAACCATTCCCAGTGCGCCTGACGGCGCCGCAATAATTGGACAGCCGCAACAAACGCCTACGCGGCATTGGGCACTGCATGCTCAACTGAATATGAGAGCAAACTTGCGAAAACAAAAAACACAAATTCCGAACGCAACGCTTCCGAAAACATGCCCATATCGCAAGTGAAACATTTGTTTCTTTCTCATCCAGATCTCTGGTGACCCGCCCGTCAGCGGGTCACCTGTTGTGCGTGCTGTATGGGGAACGCATTGAATGGCAATGCGTCGCATCATGTTGAGGCCCAGAATGCAAGTGAAACAATTGGTCTTTCTCAACCAGTTTTCTGGTGACCCACCCCTTCGTGGGTCACCTGGTGTGCTTTCGCCGTATGGAGAGCTTATTGAGTGGCAATGCATCGCCTCATGTTGAGGCCCAGAATGCAAGTGGAACAGTTGGTTTTTCTCAACCAATTTTCTGGTGACCCACCCCTTCGTGGGTCACCTGGCGTGCTTGCGCCGTATGGAGAGCTTATTGAGTGGCAATGCATCGCCTCATGATGAGGCCCAGAATGCAAGTGGAAGAGTTGGTTTTTCTCAGCCAGTTTTCTGGTGACCCACCCCCTTGTGGGTCACCTGGCGCGCTTGCGCCGCAGGGGAAACGTATTGGGTGGCAATGCATCGCCTCATGTTGAGGCCCAGAATGCAAGTGGAACAATTGGTTTTTCTCAACCAGATTTCTGATGACCCACCCCTTCGTGGGTCGCCTGGTGTGCCTGCGCCGCATGGGAAAGTGCATTGGGTGGCGTTGCATCGCCTCATGTTGAGGCCCAGAATGCAAGTGAAACAATTGGTCTTTCTCAACCAGTTTTCTGGTGACCCACCTCTTCGCGGGTCACCTGGTGTGCTTGCGCCGCATGGAAAACTTATTGGGTGGCAATTCTATCCTCGCGTTGAGGCCCAGAATGCAAGTGAACCTATTGATTCTTCTAAATCAGTTTTCTGGTGGCCCACCCCCTCGCGGGACACCTAGCGCGATTGCGCCGCATGGAAAAGTATTGGGTGGCACTGCATCGCCTCATGTTGAGGCCCAGAATGCAAGTGGAACAATTGGTTTTTCCCAATCAGTTTTCTGGTGGCCCACCCCTCGTGGGACACCTGTCGCGCTTGCCCCGCATGGGAAAGTGCATTGGGTGGCATTGCATCGCCTCATGTTGAGGACCAGAATGCAAGTGAAACAATTGGCTTTTCTCAACCAATTTTCTGGTGACCCGCCCCTGTCGTAGGTCACCTGGTGTGCTTGCGCCGCATGGGAAAATGCATTGGGTGGCAATGCATCGCCTCATGTTGAGGTCCAGAATGCAAGTGCAACAATTGGTTTTTCTCAACCAGTTTCTGGTGACCCACCCCTTCGTTGGTCACCTGGTGAGCTTGCGTCGCATGGGAAAGTGCATTGGGTGGCAATGCATCGCCTCATGTTGAGGCCCAGAATGCAAGTGAAACACTTGGTTTTTCTCAACCAGTTTTCTGGTGACCCACCCCTTCGTGGGTCACCTGGCGTGCTTGCGCCGCATGGGAAACGCATTGGGTGGCAATGTCTCGCTTCGTGTTGAGGCCCAGAATGCAAGCGAAATGCTTCGCTGTTCTCAGCCAGATTGCTGGCGCCCCGCCCGTCCGTAAACCACTTGTTGTGAATGCGCCGTATGGGGCCGCATTGAGTGGCAATGCATCGCTTCGCGTTGAGGCTCAGAATGCAAGTGGAACAATTTGTTTTTTTTTCTGAGCCAGCTGTTTGGTGACACTCCCGCCCGCGCGCCGCACGTTGTGCTTGCGCCGCGCGGGAAGTGCATTGAGTGGCAATGAATCGCCTCATGTAGAGGCAAAGAATGCACATGAAACATTTCGTTTTTCTCAAACAATGCCCTGGTGCCCCGCCCGCCCGCGGGCCACCTGTTGCGCTTCAGCCGCATGGGAAAGCGCATTGGGCGGCAATGCATCGCCTCTTGTTGAGGCAAAGAATGCAAGTGAAGCAATCGGTTTTCCTTTGCCAATTTCCTGATGGCCCACCTTTCCGTGGGTCCAATAATGCGATGTGCGACGCATGGGAAACGTGTTTTGCGGCCATGAAGCGCCTCATGTTGAGGCACAGAACACGTGTGAAACAATTTGTTGTTTGCTCAACCAGCTTGCTGGTGACCAACCCGTCCGCGGGCCGCCTATTGCGCTTGAGCCGCATGGGAAACGTAGCGAATGCCAATGCATCGCTTCATGTTGAGGCCCAGAATGCACATGGAACAATGGTTTTTTTCTCAATTAGTTTTCTGGTGACCCGCCCCTTTCGTGGGTCACCTGTTCTGATTGCGCGGTATGGGATACGTGGCGAGTGGCATTGCATCGCCTCATGTTGAAGGCCAGAATGCAAGTGAAACAATTTGTTTTCTCAACCCGTTTTTTTGGTAACCCACCCATGCGTGGGCCACCTGGTGCGCTCGCGCCGCATGGAAAAGCATTGGGTGGCAATGCATCGCCTCATGTTGAGGCCCAGAATGCAAGTGAAACAATTTGTTTCCTCAACCAGTTTTCTGGTGACCCACCCCTTCGTGGGTCACCTGGTGCGCTTGCGCCGCATGGAAAAGGCATTGGGTGGC